CCCAGTCACCATCGCCATCGCCATCATCATCACCATCACCATCATCACCATCACCATCACAACCATCACCATCACCATCACAACCATCACCATCACCATCACCATCACAACCATCACCATCACCATCACAACCATCACCATCACCATCACAACCATCACCATCACCATCACCATCACCATCACCACAACCATCACCACCACCATCACCACCATCACCATCACCATCACCACCATCACCATCACAACCATCACCATCACCATCACCATCACCATCACCATCACCACAACCATCACCACCACCACCACCATCACCACCATCACCATCACAACCATCACCATCACCATCACCACAACCATCACCACCACCATCACCATCACCACCATCACCATCACCATCACCATCACCACCACCACCACCATCACCACCATCACCATCACCACCATCACCATCACAACCATCACCATCACCATCACCACAACCATCATCATCACCACCATCACCACAACCATCATCATCACCACCATCACCATCAACACAACCATCACTGCTTCCAGGAACAGCGAGGCCGAGACCCAGCAAGTGCCCACCACCCCCACCCCAGCGCTGCCAACACCAATCCCAGCACCAAGGGCAGCGGTGTAGGGAGCGGAGGCCCGGCTGGCCTCACATCAGTGGTGCCTGCAGCGGAGATAAGAAGGTCATGCACCGAAGGTTTTAGAACCAGTAACGTGGTTCAGTGTAAGAAATGGATATGGTTCCATCGACAGGAACGACACCAAGGCAGATGAGTTTGTACACCAGACTCCCATCAAGAAGAATAACCCCAGGAAGTCCCTTCGCAGTGTAGGCGCTGGAGAGGCTGTGGCGTGTGAAGCTGTTGAGGGAGAACAGGTGCGGAGGCAGCAGATGGCACAGCCCAGGTGGAGTTCCAGCGCCAGGCCGTCACTGTGCGGCAGACCATGGCCGTCATAGACGGTCTCCACGTGGCAGGGCCCTCCCCAAAATGAGCAGCAGGATTCCCAGAATGGTGAGAGGGGGAAAGAATGAGGGGTCGAGAGGCTCCCAAAGGCCAGGCCCGACAGCGCTGGCCCCCACCTTACCACACGTGGAACCTCTGGGGGCGTGGACCACAGCATTCCAGCCCCCCTGTGCAGGGAGCAGGGGTGGGGGGTGCTGACCACCAGGGTGCAGGAGAAGAAGGCAGACCAGTGAGGAAATGTATGGGGCTATGGACCACGATGCTGCAGGGCTCTCCTCTTCAAAGACTAGAGCAGTGGTTCTCATCAACTTTGGCTGCACATTAGAATCCACCTGGGAATCTTTTTAAAACCCTGATTTCGGGGCCTCTCCTCCCGAAATTCTGTTTCTTTGTTATGGGGTGGGGCCACAACGTTAATAACAAAGAAACAGAATTTCCGGAGGATGGGGCCCAGAAATCAGGATTTTAAAAAGATTCCCAGGTGATTCTAATGTGCAGCCAAGGTTGAGAACCACTGGCCTAGAGGACAGCAGTGAAGAAGATAAGGAAAACCAAGGAGACGAGACCCAAGGTCAGCAGCCCCCTCAACGTCGGTACCGGTACCGCTGCAACTTCAGTTACCCACGCGCAGAAAACCCTGAACCACAAGATGGCAGAGAGACAGAAGCAGCTGGTCCAGCAGCTGAGAATTCGTCCACTCCCGAGGCTGAGCAGGGTGCGGGGAGGGGGGGTGTGTGGAAGGGGGGCTGAGTAAAAGTGCTGGCTACCATCTCTACCATCAAGAAGAAATGAATATGAAATTCCAGCAGTCAGAAATGGACAAAAGATTGGAGCTGAAGACCTTAAGTGCTCGCTTTTTGCCGTTGAACAGATAACTAGAAGGATGTGCGTTGTCTGTGCAGCAGGGGTTTTTATTATTTTTGTCTGAAGACATCTCTTTTAGATAATGACAATGTGTTTTTCATGGGGGAAAAAGCCTGGTTTTTTTTCAATATACCTTTAAAGGTTTTAAAATTGTTTCATATCTGGTCAAGCTGAGATTTTTAAAGAACCTCATTTTTAATTTGTAATAAAAGTTTACATCTTGATTTTTTCAAAAAAGTTAACAAATTGCAAGCACCTGCTAATAAAGGTCATAAATAATTAAAAAGAAAGAAAGAAAGAAAGAAAGAAAGAAAGAAAGAAAGGAAGGAAGGAAGGAAGGAAGGAAGGAAGGAAGGAAGAAAGAAAGAAAGAAAGAAAGAAAGAAAGAAAGAAAGAAAGAAAGAAAGAAAGAAAGAAAGAAAGACTAGGAGGCGGGTTCTTGGCTAGTTTACAAAACAGGAAGGAGCCAGAGCGCTTGGAAGGCAGTGAGGTCTGAGCGTCTCAGGACCTCATGAATTAATATGTGTGAAGTAGGACAGTGTCTGGCCTGTACTGAAAGTGCACCAAATGGTAGCTCTCACTGCATGTGCGTGAATGTGGGTCTGCCCACGTCTGAGTTACCGCTGAGCCTGTGGCTGTCTTCGTTACTGTGAGAGAAGCTGTACAGCTATTTAAATGACCCTGCTGGGTGTTTGAAAGCCCGCTGGCACTGCACTCTGGTCTGGACGAAGGTCCCTTTGTATACAGCTGTTATCCAGATGTCAGCTGAGGTCACGCTGGCCGTGAGCACCCTCTCTCCTGTGCCCTCAGGAAGTCCAGCGCCCTCCCCACCATGTCTGTGAGTTCTCCAGGCCTCCCTCCTCAGGCCCGAGTCCCTGCAGGGCTGAGTCCTGCTCTCATGCACCTCTCCTAGGGCTGTCCCTCTCCTGGGACCAGCCCACAGACCCCTGGACCTCCCCACCGTGTGTGGTCTCTGTGTGGGCACCAGATTGCCTGCAGGTCTCCCACAGGGTGCTGGTTCCAACACAGGGTGCTGTTGTCAGCCGATAAAATTAATTTTTTTACCCTAGCAGACTTCGGATAAAATTGCAGTAAAGTTTCTAAGGCTTCGGAGGGAACCCTTGAATGCATGTTACAGATCATGCAAGGAAGGCCTTAGAACAGTACCAGACAGGGCTGTTTTCTCAGGGAAACTGCACTTTGCATTTGTATCGGTTACTGTTTGCTATGTAACAAACTGCTCCAAGACCTACTGGCTCCAAACAACATTTTTTTAAATTGTCACAATTCTGTGAGTCAGCTGAGCCGTTTTCTTTGAGGCTGGGACTGAATACGTTGGGATGGCCATGTCGTGTGTCTGGCTATTGGCCCCATGTCCCCTGGGTGGCGGGGAGGCACTGGCCGCAGTGCTGTCGCTGTCCAGCAGGCTCGCCTGGGCTTATGCAGTGGTGGTGGCTCAGGGTTCCCACGAATAGTCACAGAGGGAAAGTGACGATACACAGGCACTTTTTAAGACTCTGCTTGTGTAATGTTATTGAGGTCCTATTGGCCAAAGCAAGTCATGTGGCCAAAACCAGAGTCACTGTGGGAGAAGGGACTGCCCACAGGAGAGGAACGAAGGCAGCCAGTTTTGCAAAGGCCACCACAGGATTGGAACGAGGAGGTCATAATGGAGGGGATGGGCCTGTCGAACACGGGTGTTTGGGGCTCCTTCTTCCCTCTTGAATTGCAAACTTGAGGGCAGAGCCTGCCCTGGGGCCTCGAGCTCCCTCTTCTAGTACGTGGTGAGGGCTGGTATTGGCCAGGTGGCACCTGTCCTCACCGGACGCTGCGCCCTCCCATCTCGGGCCTGGTGCTTGCTAAGACGTTACCAACATTTGGTCGCACGTCTCACGTACATGCGCCTGCTCCCAGGTGCCAGAGTGCCGCGGCTCTCTGGGAGGGTGACGGCTCTCCTGTTGGTGTGGCTGGTTCTTCCCCCTCATCTCGGCTTTCTCCTTTCTGACGTGTGACCTCCTTTCTTTGCATTTGCAGGCTAGGGCTTCCTTCCCTGCTTTCATCTCAATTCCGCTTTTCATCATCTCAGTTTCTGCCTTTCTTCTGTCTTGGTTTTTCTTTCTTTTTCTCTCCTCCCCTCTCTTCCCTTCCTCTTTCCCATATATGGACAATGATTGCACCATTCCAGTGGTGTTAATCTCCTCCAACCTTGGGTTACCCAAGGCCCCCTGAAAGTATCAAAGGATTCGGGGGGAGGTAAGGGGTGGAAGAACTGAGTAGAGCCTGCAGCAAGTAATCTTCTGAGCCCTCAGCTCAGCTTTAAAAAAAAAAGTTGTTGGTTTGGTTTTTTTTTTTGAAGAGAGAGAGGAAGGGAGAGGGAGATCGAAATATCAATGTGAGAGCTAAACATTGACTGGCTGCCTCCTGCATGTCCCCCTACTGGGGATCAAGCCCACGACCCAGGTATGTGCCCTGACCGGGAATCCAACCAGCAACCTTTTGTGCACAGGATGATGCCCAACCAACGGAGCCACTCCAGCTAGGGCCCAGCTCAGCTTTGACTTGTTTCATACCTTAACCTTCCACGGAGGATGTTTGACAAAGAATTCCACTGCCCCAAGGGAAAGTTTGCAGAGGTTTTGCATGGACACAGCAGCGGTTATGACAGGCTTAGCGTTAACCAGTCTGTTGAGATAAGAGGCATCTCAGGAGAACCAGGGCCAATGGCTTTCAGCACCGAGCAGGTCTATCATGACGACAGGCGCTTTGGAGAGCATGCAGGCTGCAAGGCTCAGAGGCAGGAGGACCAGCTGGCCATGGAGGCTGAGGCTGGAGGAGGTAGCATCTGGGTGCAGTGGAGAGACTGGGGCTGGTGCTGAGGTGCAGAAGCAGCTGGAGTGGTGACGTTCTGAGGGACAGTGACTGATGCTGGGGAAATGTCCCTAGTCCGAAGCAGCTGGAGAGACAGGCAGGGTGTGCTTTGGCAGAAGCTGTCGTGGGTTCTTCTTGTGGTTCCTCAGTCACTAACTGCTTTCTCAGCATGGAGAGAGTTAGGGGCTGGAGGTCAAAGCTGTAGGCACAGAACCTCACACAGGCGTGGAGGTCTCGGGGCCTGAGATCAGGACTCAGGGTGTGACAGAAAGATGCATCCACGCAGGCCTGCAGTTGAGACCAGGGCCACTCCCACCACTGGCCACAGAGATGGTACATTGTCCCTAATGCTGTTTGCTGCCAAAGCTGGCTGCCTTTCTGCATGATTGCAACATTTGTGGTGGTGTTTGATTCAATGTGAAAGCAAACTTGACCCCGGAGAAGGGCCATCAAAAGTATATTGTTAAGTGATTCTTAACCTCTTCTGGATGGTCCCCTTCGGGAATCTGACAGGAGCCGGGCCCCTCCCACACGTGCCCCCACAGTGCGGTCAGTGTGTGCAGGTGTGTGTGGGTAGACATGTTCTCACTGCACAAAGGCACCATCTTTGAGGGGCTCAAAATATCTTTATTTTGGCAAATTTCCAGCAGAGGACAATCAAGGGTCTCATTCTGTCACAGGTTGGTCTGTTACAACAGCGGGCGGGTCTGTGATGATGACAGAGTGACTTGTTCTGGTCTGTACAGAGGTGTCCCATGATCTAGCCACAGGGTTGTGCTTACTTTGTTGCTCTACATGTGGACATGACTTTCCCTAAGAGAATGGTCCTGTCTACCTGTGTAGACCTGTGTGTCCCCTGTGAGTGGCTTTGTGTCCACCATAGATGGCCAAAGAGCCCTCCATGGCTGGCCAAGAGTCCCCTGTGGCTGAGTGAGTGTCCCCTGTGGGTGGCTGAGTGTCAGGCCATGCAAGGCTGAGTGGGTGCTGTGGGGGGCCCAGCATTTCTGTGGGAATGGTCACATGTCTGCCCTTGGATGATGGGGTGACACTGTGGTTCCCTCTCTGCTCTCTGACCAGTCTCGGCTCCCCCAGTCCCTGCTGCTTCTCCGTGAGGCTCTGGGGTGCCAAGCCCAGAGGGTGTGTTTGGGGGACCTGGGACCCAGCCGGGGGACACCACGACAGGAGCCCAGGTGGTTGTAGGGGTGACCTGCTCTCTTTGTCCCCGCCAGGCTGAGGCCCCGGAAAGAGCAGGGCACGTACGCACTGTCTATGATCTACGGGAAAACCGTGTACCACTACCTCATCAGCCAGGACAAGGCCGGCAAGTACTGCATACCCGAGGGGACCAAGTTTGACACGCTCTGGCAGGTGAGCCGCCCGCCCCCCGATGTGAGGGAGCCGCCATGGCGAGGTGCTAGGCTCCTGGGAGGAAGGAGCCTGGCCCTGACGCCCGCCCCCTGCAGCTGGTGGAGTACCTGAAGCTGAAGGCGGACGGGCTCATCTACTGCCTGAAGGAGGCCTGCCCCAACGCCAGCGCCAGCGCCAGTGCAGGTGCGCGGGGCCGCCGGGCGGGGCTCGGGAGACGCTGGCCCTCAGCCCCTCACCGCCCTTTCTGTTCCCTCAGGGGCCGCTGCTCCCACCCTCCCCGCCCACCCATCCACGTTCACCCATGTGAGTCAGCCAGCATCTCAGAGTTGGGGTCTCTGGGGCGGAGCTGGTATGGGGGCTACGGGTCCTGTTCCCAGGGCGAGGCTGGGGAACGGGAGGAGGTGCCCCATTACTGTCCCTGGGAGTCCTCAGAGGATATGGGTCTCATGAGGGGCTGGTGCCCTCAGCTTGGGCCCTACTAACCCTGTGGCCCCATGACCTTTAGCCTCAGAGACGGACCGACACCCTCAACTCAGATGGATACACCCCTGAACCAGGTGAGCTGGCAGAGGCGGGGGTGTGTGATGGGTTTGGTGCCGGCTGGTGGCAGATCCCCGGCTGGCTCTGGGTGTGCTCAGGGAGACGGGGGCCTGTCCCGGCCCGTGGCAGTTGGCTTGGTTGGCCCTGATCACACACTGTGCCATCTGCATGGGCACGCCCATCACGCCCACCTGTGCATGTACATGGGTGTGTGCAGACGTGCAGGGGAGAACCCGTGGCTGTGCCTGGATGCCCAGGGCACAGACACATTCGTTAAGCACCTGCTGTGTGCCAGTTACACTCCGAGCTCACTGTGCACACGAGCTCATTGGATCCTCCTGGCATACTATGGGAGGCGGTCACAGTAATTCTCAATTTATAGACGAGCCAGGAGGGAGTAACTCTCCCAGGCCACACAGTAGGCAGTGGGGGGGCGAGACTGGACCCAGGCAGACAGGCTCCCGAGGCCACGCTCCTAAAACGCCCACTGCTGATGCTTGTGTGTTGGACGTGTGGATGCAAGCCTCCCCATGTATGTGCTCAGAGAACATACATGGTTGTGTGTGCACACAGAGGCTCATCTGTGGAGCCCTTGTAAACATGGCTGCCTGGTGCCTACGGAGACGCGGGCGGGCACAGACGTAGGTGCATACATGTCAGTGCACACACAGGCATAGGTGTGCACATTCCACCTGGCATACTAACAGTTACTCAGGCAGACATGGGTGGGAGTGTACATGGATGCATAAGTGTGAACACACAAGGGCACGCATGCTTATATGTGCACAGTGGTGCACGAGCCTTTGGGGTCCAGTTGGACGGGACTTCCCAGTGCACCCACAGATGGGACCAGGAGTGCACACATGTGCACACACACACGGACCCACGCGCCTGTACATGCTCTAGGTGGTACGCCCCTGTCCACGGTACATGCCTTGTGGGCGCTGAGGCTCCCTGCCCTCCCATCCCCTGCCCCCTCCCTCCTCTTGACTGGGAGTGCACGCCTGTGTGTGCCCAGCCCGCCTAGCGTCCCCAGAGAAGCCGCGGCCCCTGCCCATGGACACGAGCGTGTACGAGAGCCCCTACAGCGACCCCGAGGAGCTCAAGGACAAGAAACTCTTCCTGAAGCGCGACAACCTCCTCGTAGCTGACATCGAACTTGGTTGCGGCAACTTTGGCTCCGTGCGCCAGGGCGTCTATCGCATGCGCAAGTACGACTGCTGGTGCAGGGGGCCATCCCCGGCCTGCGGAGAGGGGGAGCCAGGAGGCGACATCAGTTTGCCTGGAAAACAGACCCTGGGGGAGGACCTCGCCCTTGGGGACAGCACCTGAGGGAGTGAGAAGCAGCGGGAGCTGTAGAGGGGCCCCCTGAGCCCCTGCGTCCGCCCGTCATTGGATGCAGGCTGCCCAGGGGGGAGTGCACCTATGAATGGAACTGCTCTTTGCAGTGAGGGGCGGTTCCGGGGAGGACTTGGCCGTGCACTGCCCCGCCCGCACTCCCGGCAGCCAGGGATGAGTGCCTGGGTCTGCAAGGGAGATCTGGGTGGCAAACCACAGCGTCCACTACACAGTCCAGGGAGAGGGAGCAGGTGGGGGCACGAGGGGCTGAGCAGGGCCGCACTGACTCGTGTGCGCCTTGGTTGGGCAGGAAGCAGATCGACGTGGCCATCAAGGTGCTGAAACACAGCACAGAGAAGGCGGACAAGGACGAGATGATGCGCGAGGCGCAGATCATGCACCAGCTGGACAACCCCTACATCGTGCGGCTCATCGGCGTCTGCCAGGCGGAGGCCCTGATGCTCATCATGGAGATGGCGGGCGGCGGGCCGCTGCACAAGTTCCTCACCGGGAAGAAGTGAGCGGGCTGCGGGGCGCTGGGACGGGGCGCGGGGCGGGGCGCGTCCTGTCCACTCACGGGTGTGCTCCACCTGCGGGCACACACTCACTCTATTATTACATTTTTGTTTATTGATTTGAGAGAGAGAGAAGGGGGAGAGAGGCAGAGAAATCGATTTGTTGTTCCACTTGTTCATGCATTCACTGTCTGACTCGTATGTATCCTGACCGGGGATCGAACCTGCAACCCTGGTGTATTGGGATGATGCTCTAACCA